TTCCAGACCAGCCTGAGCAAGAGGAAGACCCCGTCTCTACTAAAAATAGAAAGAAATTAGCTAGACAACTAAAAATATATACAGAAAAAGTTAGCTGGGCATGGTGGCACATACCTGTAATCCCAACTATTCAGGAGGCTGAGGCAGGAGGATCGCTTGAGCCCAGGAGTTTGAGGTTGCTGTAAGCTAGGCTGATGCCATAGCACTCTAGCCTGGGCAACAGAGTGAGACTCTGTCTCAAAATAAATACAATAACTTTCATAAAGATGCTTAATGAGCTGTGGAAGAACACAGACAACTAAACAAAAAATCAGGAAAACAGTGCATGAACAAAATTAGAATATCAACAAAGGGCTAGAAAGTATTTTAAAAGACCAAATAAAAATTCTGGAGCTGAAAACAGAATAACTGGATGAAAAACTCATTGGAGACATTCGGCAGCAGATTTGATCAGGCAGGTGAAAAAATCAGCAAGCTTGAAGATAGGTCATTTGAAATCATTGAGTCACAGAAGCAAAAAGAAAAGAAAATAAAGAAACATGAAGAGAGCCTAAGGGCTATATGGGACACTGCGAAGAAGACCAATGTGTGTGTTATTGGAATCCAAGAAGGAGAAAAGAAAGAGAAAGGAGCAGAGACTTTATTTGAAGAAATAATGACTGAAAACGTCCCAAATCTGAGGGTAGAAATAGACATATAGATTTAGTAAGCTAAAAGAACTCCGACTAAAATAAATCTGAAGAAAACCACAGTAAGATACATTACAATCAAACTATCTAAATTCAAAGACAGAGGGGATCTTGAAATCAGGAGAAGAGTGATTTGTCACATATAAGGGAGCTTCCATAGGATTATCAGGAGATTTCTCAGTATTATAATAACTTTGCAGCCCAGGAGGGATGATATATTCAAAGTGCTGAAAGAAAAAACCTGTCAGCCAAAAATACTGTATCTGACAAAACTGTCTTTCAGAATTGAAGAAGAAATTGAGACTTTTCCAGATAAATGAAAGCTGAAGGAGTTTATTACCAATAGTACCACTGTATAAGAAGTGCTAAAACAGTCCTTCAAGTTGAAACAGAGGGATGGTAGACAGCAGCACAAAGATGTATGAAAATATAAGGTTCTCCAGTAAAAGTAAATACATGGACAAATAGAGTAACCTGTACTACTTTAATTTTGGTCCCTAGAATTTAAGTGACAAAAACATTTTAGAAACTATAAATCTATGTTAATGGGTACACAATATATAAAAATATAATTTTTGACATAAATTACATGAAGTGAAGGTTGTGGAGCTGTAGATGAGTAGAGTTTTTGTATGCAACTGAAGTAAAATTCTTACCAGTATGAAATAGAACCTTATAACTTTAAGACATCTTATGTAATTGCAATGTCATCCACAAAAAAAAAATCTATAGAATATACACAAAAGGAACTAAGAAGGGAATCAAAGCATATCACTACCAAAAAAGTCAATGACACACAAAGGAGAGCAGTAAGAGAGGAAAGGAGGGATGAAAAAGCTACAAGACACACATAAAACAATGAACAAAATGGCAGTAGTGGGCCCTTCCCTATCAGTAATTACTTTAAATATAAATGCATTAACCGCCCCAATCAAAAGATGTAGATTTAGTGAATGGATTAAAAAAGAAACAGGGCTGGGCGTGGTGGCTCACGCCTATAATCCTAGCACTTTGGGAGGCCGAAGTGGGAGGATCACTCAAAGTCAGAAGTTTGAGACCAGCCTGAGCAAGAGCGAGACCCTGTCTTTACTAAAAAAATAGAAAGAAATTAATTGGCCAACTAAAAATATATAGAAAAAAAAAAAAATTAGTTGGGCATGGTGGCACATGCCTGTAGTCCCAGCTATTTGGGAGGCTGAGGCAGGAGGATCGCTTGAGCCCAAGAGTTTGAGGTTGCTGTGAGCTAGGCTGACACTCTACTCAGGGTGACAGAAGGAGACTCTGTCTAAAAAAAAAAAAAAAGAAGAAGAAAGAAACAATCTAACTTTACACCTCACGAAATTAGAAAAACAAAAACAAACTAAACCTAAAGAAAAAGAAGGAAATAATAAAGATTAGAGCAGAGATAAATGAAACAGAAAAACATCAATAAAACTAATAGTTTTTTAAAAGATCAACAAAACTAACAAATGCTTAGCTAGATTTTACAAAAAAGAGAAAAGACTCTAACTAAAATCAGAAATGAAAGAGGAGACATTACAACCAATGCCATAGAAATAAAGAAGATTATGTAAGAGAATATTATGAACAATTGTATACCAACAAATTGGGTAACCTAGGGGAAATGGATAAATTCTTAGAAATAAACAACCTACTGAGACCGAGTCAGGAAGAAATAAAAAATCTGAACAGACCAATAATGAGTGGAAGATTGAATTGGTAATCAAAAATATCCCAATGAAAAAAAAGCTCAGGACCAGATGGCTTCACTGGATAATTCTACCGAACGTTCAAAGAATTATCCTAAAATTCCTCCAAAAAATTGAAAAGGACCTAAAAAAGAAGAATTCCTGACTGCAGTATAGAGCCTGGATTGGAGAGGGGCACAGACTGGAGATAGAGAGACCAGGGAGGGACTGTGACAATTATTCAGGCAAGAGATGCTTGGACCATGCCAGACTGTATGGAATGAGAGGTGGGATTTTTAAGAGAGGGTTAGTGTCATAAGGAATGTCTGTCTCGGTAAAGATTTTAAATATTATAAAAAAAGAAATAAATTTAATTAAAAAAAGAAAAAATAAAAAAAAAGAGAGGGTTAGGAAGTGACACTGGTTTAGAGAGGAAGGCAAAAAAGTCAATAGTGACAGATTTTGGACCTGGGTGACTGAGAGAATTATGTAACCACTAGCAAAAATAGGGAATTCAAGAAAAGGAAGTAATTTGGGGAGAGACGAATTTTGCTTTGAACACACTGAATTTGAGGTACATGTGGGACAGCAAAATATAGAAGCCCGGTAGGCAATTAAAGCACAGATCTGGAACTCTAGCGAGAGGTGGGAGCTGAAGGTACCAAGTGGGGAGTTTTCTGTTTAGAGGTGATGGTCGAAACCAAAGATCGATGAACTACAGCCCACAGACCAAATCAAACCCACCACTTGTTTTTGGATGGCTTGCAAACGAAAATGTTTTTACGTTCTGAATGTTTATCTAAGCACCTACGCAATTGCCCTGATTTCGCCTCTTGGCCCACAAAGCCGAAAAGATTTACTCTCTGACCTTTAAGAAAAGTCTGCCAAGCCCTGGTTGAAGCCATCAGCATAGAGGTGTTCACCAAGTTAGTGGTGTCGAGAGAAGAACATCGTGCTTGAGGAACAGAATATACAGCAGCCAAACCACAATAAAGCAGCAACGGCAATCAAGGAAGGAGACCGTGTCAGAGAAGTCAGAGAAGACAGGAGGGCCCGAGCGCCAAGTGCCAGACAGAGGATGAGGACTGCCATCTGGGCTTGGCAGCTGGGAGGTCGTTGGTTAGTGGTCGTTAGGCTGGTGACCAAGCAGAGTGGCGGGAGCAGAAGTTGGGTGGTAAGGGATTAACGCGTGATGGGCAGGTTGGGGAGCGTGCGTAGACTATTCTTTTTTTTTTTTTTTTTGGAGTCTCGCTTTGTTGCCCAGGCTAGAGTGAGTGCCGTGAAGTCAGCCTAGCTCACAGCAACCTCAAACTCCTGGGCTCAAGCGATCCTCCTGCCTCAGCCTCCCGAGTAGCTGGGACTACAGGCATGCGCCACCATCGCCGGCTAATTTTTCTATATATTAGTTGGCCAATTAATTTCTTTCTATTTATAGTAGAGACGGGTCTTGCTCTTGCTCAGGCTGGTTTCAACTCCTGACCTGGAGCAATCCTCCCCGCCTCGGCCTCCCAGAGTGCTAGGATTACAAGCGTGAGCCATTGAGCCCGGCCTGTAGACTATTCTTTGAAGACATTTCATAAAGGGATGGGCCAGCACAGGGAGCGATCTGGCGTGGAGAGCTGAGAAGGTGGTTTTAGAATGGAGGAGACCTGAGTGTGTCATGTGCTGAGGGGAGGGAGACGGAGAAAGAACAGCTGAAGAGTAAACGAGCGGGAGGAGCATTGTTGGGGCGAGGCCTGAAGGAAGCGCTACAGAGTGCGAGTCGGGGCACTGGGCAGAGGAGGCGCTGGCAAGGAAGGGGACAGTTGTCCCTCAGCCATGGCAAGCAGAGGTCAGGGAGAGGCAGAGAGACTTTCTGAGGGTGCTCCTGCAGCCTAGGAGAAAAGGGCTTTTTCTCCTGCGAACTTGGACATTGGGGAGCTAAAACAGTATGCAGAAGGTTCTCAGGCCTGGGGCCTATCCAAAGAAAGGGGGTGTGGGAATGCGAGGTACAGTGAGCACAAAACAGCTGGCCGTGGAGTTCTGGCTTGGCGGGGAGGTGACTTGAGACCACATGAAGATGGCCTGGGAGATTGAGGACAGCTTGAGGGGCTAGAACTCAAGCTGAAGGCAGCGTGAGTTTGGTGGAAGGAAGAGAACTGAAAGAACCAGAGGTCACACTCAGAAAAGAGAATTTCCAACTTAAAATCTTGAAAATGAAACTATGATTGAGTGAAGAAAGAGGCATCCTAGGTGTGATTAAGTGTGTGGGAAGCTGAATGAGAATGGAGGCGGAGATGACTGAAATCAAAAGGAACAGTTATGGGGTGTCACTGAATCTTCCTTGCGTACTAGGAAATAGAAGGTGAAGGAGCTGAGGCACTGAGAGGTTAAGTAACCAGTCTGAAGTTACACAGCTAGGAAATGGCAGAGTCGGGTTTTGAACCCTGATCTATGGCCCTGACATCCACTTGATCATGTCACAACAGGAACATGGTGCTCCGCTCTCACTGAGGATAAGAGCTGGGGATGAGGTAAAAAAGATGACATGCTTGGTCACTCGTTACTCGGCATTCTGGGAATTCTTATAGCGGGACCGATCCTTATAAATTTTCTAACTAAATTTATTTCATCCTATCTAAAGGCCATCAAGCTACAAATGATCCTACATTAAAAAAAAAAAAAGAAAGAAAGAAAAAGATGGCACGGATTGAGAAAGACAATGTCCTGCAGGTGAAGGCTGGTTGAAACAGAATGAAGCATGAAGTTAATTTAAACATCAGGAAAGGAATAAAGAGGATTTCATCTGTATGAACAGGGTTCCTATAGTAGAGACTTCATTTATTATCTCTCTCTGGACCGCTTTTAACTAAAGTGGTTCTTTAGAGGTTATTAGTGTGAAGCACATGACAATGCGCAGAACACTTTCACTTCATCTCTCGGTCTCTTCACAATGGTCTCTGAGGGCAGCTATTATTATTTTGCTCATTGTACTGATGAAAAAACAGGGCCTCGAAAGCTGATTGCTCCATGATCACACAGGAAGTGATGGATAGGGGCGTGCAGTCCACACACCATGTTCTTTTGTTGACTCAACAAAGTGAAAGTAGAACCTATGCCCACACCAGCCCGGAGTGTAGCAGTAATCTCTAGCTCTAGGCCAGGGCTCCTCAAACTTTTTAAACAGGGGGCCAGTTCTGTCCCTCAGACCATTGGAGGGCCGGACTGTAATTTAAAAAAAACTATGAACAAATTCCTATGCACACTGCACATATCTTATTTTGAAGTAAAAAAACAAATGGGCAAAAACACCCGCACGTGGCCCGCAGCCCGTAGTTTGAGGACGCCTGCTCTAGTGCCTTCAGCCTAAGGTGGCTGAAACCAGAGGGAGGTGGTCTGAGAGAATGAGGAGGCCTGGGGCCTGCAACCATATCCTTGGAGAGAAGTAGTAGGAATCTTACAAGTTGGCGGGAATATGGACATACGAGGTGTAGTCTGTACCTTCAAGGAATTCATTAAGTGGAGGAGAAAGAATTATTTAAAAAATTATAATCCCCACAACTGTATCAACTCCCTTTAGAGGCAAAAAAAAAGAATTAAAAAAATAAAAAATAAAATTATAATCCAGGCCGGGCGTGGTGGCTCACACCTGTAATCCTAGCACTCTGGGAGGCCGAGGAGAGAGGATGGTTTGAGCTCAGGAGTTCGAGACCAGCCTGAGCAAGAGCGAGACCCTGTCTCTATCAAAAAAATAGAAAAAAATTAGCTGGAAAACTCAAAATATATATAGAAAAAATTAGCCAGGCATGGTGGCGCATGCCTGTAGTCCCAGCTACTCGGGAGGCTGAGGCAGGAGGATTGCTTGAGCCCAGGAGTCTGAGGTTGCTGTGAGCTAGGCTGACGCCACGGCACTCTAGCCTGGGCAACAGAGTGAGACTCTGTCTCAAAAAAATAAATAAATAAATTATAATCCAATATGCTGATTTCTATTCTATCCTGGTGCAAGTTACGTTGGGGGGTTGCAGAAGAGAAGCAGCTAGCACTGCATTGCGGGTTCGAGGCCCGCTTCTGAAAGGAAGAGACTCCTGACAGATCAGGGGGCAACTGAGTTAGGGCAGAGCAGGTGGGAACAACATGCACAGGGGCACAAAGAAGGGCTTTGTTGACCCATTTGCTGAACAAACATGGCAGTACGCTTGGAAAGTTGGGCCCTTGTTGAGGAGCCAGGCCGTAGGGCCTTGTGTGTCAAGCTGAGGGCATCGGCCTATACCCAGAGGGCAACGGGGGGAGCACTGTCGGGTTTTGAAGAGGGGAGTGCTATGATGAGATCTGTAATCTGAGCGCTCTTTCCCTAGCGAGGCAAGACTGGGCACCGGGCAACCAGACGGGAGAGGCTGTCGCAGGGCGAGGCTGTCGCAGGGCGAGGCTGTCGCAGGGCGCCAGCGGAGAGATGCCGGCTTGAGCCTGGGAGGAAGGCTGAGGCGGAGGGAACCTATTTAAGAACAGCCTTGTCGCATACATTTCTGAGCACTTGTGCCGCGGGGTCGCTGATTCATAGCAGATGCCCCTGTTGCCTAGATACCGCCCAACTGCTCTCCAAAAAGGCTGTTCCGATTTGTATAGATGTCTCTAGAGCACTCCAGCCATTTTTCACGCTCTCTGTCTTCCGATAATGCTATTGCATGCAAACTGCTGTGGAAGAAGCGTTGTGTTCTCTCATGTGGATAAAGAAAATCAAAAGCTTCATGTTAAACTTGTGACTTCCCATGTGTGGCCCCCTCTGCCTTCTCTTCTACTGTGCCCAACTCCTCGGTAGATGGAAAGGTCTGTCTTTCTTTCTTGTTATTAGTCCCAGACTGTCAATCTAGTTCTAGAAGAAACATTGCCTCTCTTTATTGTCTTCTAAATCAGTTTAATTTCGATTCTGCTCCCCATCTCAGCAGAGTGTCGGAAATTCTGCCTGAGTCATTCTCGCAGTTCCTGCCTCCCTAATGTCAAGACAAGTTCTTGGGACATTCACAGTGCCAGACATCCTGGGGGGAGGGAGGGGATCTTGCTGTCTGTCTTGGCGTTTGTAAGTTTCCACTAAGCCACTCTTCGTCCCCTGCTCACTGCTGCTTCTGTGGGAGCTGAGGAACGCGGGCAGGCAGCTGTGTCTGGGGTGGCCCCCTGCACACACCGGGGCCACTGCTCTGTGGGGAATCAGCACCTCTTCAGACGCTGCTGAGGACCAGGGCCCAGGGACCCAGGTCTCTTTCCTCCCTCCCCGCCTCGATCCAGGCTATATACCTCCCTTGAGGCAATCAAGCACCAGGGTTGGCTTCCTTTGGTAGGCACAGGGAGAAACGGAAAATCCGAGGAGGGAAAATACAGGCTTCAGCCTATGGTACCTAAAGGGATGAGCTGATTGGCTGTGGAGCGGGATAACTAAAACTGATACGACGTCAGAATAAAGCAGTATTATTGATATATTTTTAAATACTTAATTTGAAAATGCCAACATCCAATCTAACTTTGAAATATTTAAATGGGTCCGCGAGTGGTGGCTCACACCTGTAATCCTAGCACTCTGGGAGGCTGAAGCGGGAGGACTACTCAAGGTCAGGAGTTCGAAACCAGCCTGAGCAAGAGCGAGACCCCGTCTCTACTATAAATAGAAAGAAATTAATTGGCCAACTAATATAGATAGAAAAACTTAGCCGGGCATGGTGGCACATGCCTGTAGTCCCAGCCATTTGGGAGTCTGAGGCAGGAGGATCGCTTGAGCCCAGGAGTTTGAGGTTGCTGTGAGCTAGGCTGACGCCACGGCACTCTAGCCCGGGCAACAGACCAAGACTGTCTAAAAAAAAAAAAAAGAAAAAAAAATACTTAAATGGATCTACAGCCCCACATTGTGTATTCACAGGGAAGTTCCCAGGGGACATTGTCACTTTTCCTCCTAGGATGTAGACCCTTTTCTTCCTAGGCCTGGGTGGTAGGCAGAATAATTCTACCACCACTAAAGATGTCCACCTCCTAACCCGGCCCCTGTGGATATGTTATACTACATGTCAAAGGGAAATTAAGGTTGCAGGTAGAATTAAGGTTGCCAATCAGTTGACTTTGCAATGGGGACATTGTCCTGGATGATCCAGGTAGGCCCAATGTAGTCACAGCGTCCTTATAAGCAAAGTGCGAGGCAGAGTCAACGAAGCAGAGAGATGGCAGCGTCGACACCAGGTTCGAAGATGGAGGAAGGGGCTGTGGGCCAAGGAATGTGGGTGGCTTTCGGAAGCTGGAAAAGGCAAGGAAACAGACCCTTCCCTAGAACCCCCAGATGAAACACAATCTTTTTTGGTTTTGTTTTTTGGCCTTTTTTTGAGACAGAGTCTGGCTCTGTTGCCCAGGCTAGAGTGCCGTGGCATCAGCCTAGCTCACAGCAACCTCAATCTCCTGGGCTCAAGTGATCCTCCTGCCTCAGCCTCCCAAGTAGCTGGGACTACAGGCATGGGACACCGTGCCCTGCTGATTTTTCTTTTGCTTTGCTTTGCTTTGCTTTGCTTCGCTTTGCTTTTCTTTTCTTCTCTTTTCTTCTCTTTTCTTTTCTTTTTTGTAGAAACAGGGCCTCACTATGTTCCTCAGGCTGGCCTCAAACTCCTGGCCTCAAGTGATCCTCTTTCCATGGCCTCCCAAAGTGCTAGGATTAGAGGCATGAGCCACCGCACCCAGCCTGATTCCCTTTTATGGTTGTTGTATGGGCTGGTAGTCCTTAGAGGCAGGCAAGGAAGGTAGGATTACCCTCAGGACTTTTCTCACCCATTTAGATACAAAGGAGTTTTCAAAACTGGAATGCAAAGCATTGGAGAGGTACTTGCTTTCTACATACATGCTGGTAGTAGCAGGGAGGGATGAAGGAAGTGAGGGCCATGCAGCTTGCAGGAAGCCCACTTGTCAGATCTAGCATGGACAGAAAATTCCAAGCAGGAACTTGCCTGTCTCTTTCCCCTTCCTCCTCCTCCTCCTGGGGGCTCTAGTGACAGGCGTGACCACGCAGCGCATCTGCACAAATCTGCCCCATGAGAGCTCTAGTGCTCGACAGGAGAGATCGGGGCCAGTGGTTCTAAAGGAAATAGAGTTGCAAGAAATTCAGGATGGAATTCGGGGTTTGGAGAGTTATGATGATGCTCCAGAAGAAGACGACTTAACTCTATTTGAATAAATGTAGATTGTTGTACCATACTTAGAAAACATAACACATTTCCTGAAAATAAGCCCTAGGGTGTCTTCTTGAGGAAAAATAAATAGAAGACCCTGTCTTATTTTCGGGGAAACACAGTACTTCTGTTATAGCAGGTGTTCCATCGGGTGGTCCCGAGGACAACCCGAGCGGCACACGGACAGTCGGAGAATCAAAGTTTATTTTCTGGTGGGCTCAGAGGGGCCTTGCCACCAAATTCTGAGCCCCGTCTACCCGGGTTTTCCCCACTTTTATTAAGTTGGGGTGGTCCAAGAGGTGGGGTACCAGGTGTAGGTTAGTTGATGTGCCAGGCAATCAATTTAGTGTTACGCTGGTGCCAGGCAATAGACTAGTTGGTGAGCCAGGAAACAGGTTAGTTTTATGCAGATGTGGGTCTTCTGTGAGGGGGGGGTCTCCCGTGCCTGACATGCCAAGTAATAGCTGGGGGTTTCCCTGATCAGTTCAAGAATAAACATGCCCTATCAGGATCCTATATCCTAGGGGTCAGGGAGCCCTAGGAGGTGGGACACAGACAAGGGGTAGAGATAGACCCCAACATTTTCCTTTTGGTTCTTCCTTTGGTCAGAAACTGGCACAAATGTCATTCAAGCTGAGAAGCCCAGCCATCTGGCCCCAGGGGCTTGTGCAGGATGGAGGGGAGGATTTCTTCCTAAGGGTCTTTATATTTTACATACACGGCCTGTTGCAAGCTCCCTGGGAATGCGGACAGCCAGCTTGCAGGCCTGCAAGGTTGTCAGAGGTGGAAGGGTGCAAAGCAGGGCAATGTCTCTGTTCTTTGGAGGCCACCTTGCCCGGTGATGGAATAGGATTTCTGTCAAGCTAGCATTTGAGTCCTGGTCCTGCTGTCTATTTGCTGTGTGACCCTTTCTGAGTCTCACTTCCCTGTCCTGCAGAATAATAACCCCTATTCATAGCAGCATTATTCACGATAGCCGAAAGGTGGGA